TAAGCACTGCCTCCAATTCTGCAAGTGATATGTTGTCCACCAGCGATTGAACATAATCTGGAGCCAGGTTGCACAAAAACTCCTCAGTCCACTCTGAGTTAAAAGATGACACTCCACCCAGACTATTCGTGAATCCCTTGAATGCCCTAATCTTTCTCCAAACCTCCGAGGGCTTTGATTCCCTGCTTAATTGTCGCAAAAGTCTTTGAAACTGTTCTTTTTCTTTAAGAGCCTTTTTGTTATCGCCATTTGCTGTTTAGCTCGTAAAAAGTGTTCGTAACGACCAGTCTTATGAAAAATGGCGATTAAGCGCTTCCTTTTGGCAACTGCTCTGCCACATTCGTCATCCCACCATGGACATGGTGGCCTCGAACTTGAAGATGCTGATCTATGGCATTCCTTGGCCGTACTTAAAATTCTCCTTTGGAAGTCATCATAATCTGGTTCATTTGGTGAGCTGTTCTCTAATAAGTATTTGTATCTTTCCCAGTTTATTTTCTCACTTTTCAATCTAAGTCCCGAACCAACTACGACGACGGAAACCCAAATTGACTATGGTCAATATAGGAGCGTGGTCGCTACCAAATGTATGTTGTGTTTAATCAATTTAAGTTTCGTTAATTTGAATGTGATTTTATTTTATCTATTTCGTAATGATAATAATGTTAACTTGATTTTGGTTCTACATATGTATAATTTTATTGAAGTTTTAATGGCTTCAATATACTTTACTCGTTGTAGACTGAATGGTAATTATTTAATTATTATTATTTTGAAATATTTATCCTTACTTAATTACGCAACAGATTATTATAATCTGCCTTATTTGTTTTTTAATTTTACTTCTTTGCTATTTTAATATTCAATATATTATAGTTCAGGATATTCTATAATTTGGGTTGGCCACCCTTAAGCAAATTCGTTTTTCTATCAGTTTTTGGAAAGTTTCTCATATATCCAAAATTCGAATATTGTATGTTGGTGTGTTGTTTTGGTTTGCAAACGAGCTCGCAATTGTTTGTGTATGTTTGAATGTATGAGCAAAAGTGTTTCGATTTGTGTTTGTTTTTGTATGATCTGAATGAACGTTAGTTGCTGTTATGATTGTGACGAGTTTTCGATAGATTTTTAAGAAAATGTTAAATCTTCATTAACATTTTCAATTTGTTAGGTACTTGACTAAAATTCTTGAATAAAATATTTTGGATTTCCATTATTAATTAAACATTTGTTATTTCCTACATCTCCTCTTTTATTTTACGTTCCTTTTACAAAACACATTCAAATTTATTTTTTATTATTTTGTTAATAATGGAAATTATCATTTTGTTTCAAAATTGAAACAATGTGATCAATTTCTATTTATTAACTTTGCGTATGAGTAGTTAGTGGCAAATGTAATGTATTTGTCTGCTTTTTATGTTTTCTGCTTTCAGCGGTGGATGTAACGTCAACAAGACTTGACGATAGACTCTCTCTGCACAATTGTAGATTTGTATTAAAGGATGTTTCAGTACCCTTACCCTCCCCCTTAGAGCTTATCTTAAGGGTTATTTCATTCTATTTTTAAATTATCCCTACTGAAATTGTTGCACACTACCATGATCCACCTGTCGCCCTTCATGTTTTCAATTTTATCGTATATATTTGTTTTAACATTGATAATTAAAAGTAGCTTCAATTGTTATTATAGAAATCTTTTGTATTTGATTGGCATTGGTTCCCTTCACTCCGCCCGTCCGCCGCGCGACCCACCGTAACTGGTGATATGTCTATTATGGGGGTACCAGTAATTCGCAGACTAGTCAGTTTACTTTGACAGGGTCTCTGCCATTCCCAACACCTTCCTTCCTCCTCTTGCCATTTCAATACTCTAGTTTTCTCTTCGCTTGGGCGAAATTCACTATTAACTTCATCTTGATTTCCTGGTTAAGGTTAGGCATTGGGTATGGATCGAATGAGCTTTTGCTTGGCTCACGATTCAATCACTCACTTCGAGTGATTTTCCATTTGTCGTCGGTTGTACTAATCCAGAGGTTCCCAAACTTTTTTGTGTCGTAGACCCCTTGCCATGTTTTTCGGTTTTGGGTAGACCCCCTACTTACCTGATATTGATTTTTTGTAAATTTATTATTTCTATTGGGACATCTTTATAATTATTAAGATCTTTGCGCTGAGACTGCGCGTATTCTTGTAACAAGATGATACTGGTATATCATTATGTGCAGGTTTTTACAAGTTCAAATTGTATTGCGACCACAAAGCGAATGCCTACATCCTACAACTTACACAATTTTATAAACATATATAATATTTTTTTTACTTCATAGGTACTTTTATAAATAATTTATATGTCTTTATATTATAAGATAGTATAATGTAAGTTAATTAGGTTCTATAAGTGAATGTTGAGATACACTACTGTGGACCCCTATTTTATTTCATGGACCCCCAAATATATTTTCGCTGACGTAGACCCCTTGCAGGTTGTCATAGACCCCTGGAGGTCGATATAGACCACTTTGGGAATCACTGTACTAATCCATATCTGTGGGGCTCTAACACATTCCTACGTGTTTCTCTTTCACCTCAGATAAAGTTCACCTCTGGACTGTTGCGCTCGATCTGTTCCTTTTTACTGTGAACGTTCAGGTATTGCTGCTGAGTGGATCAAACTATAGAATTACAAAGCAAAAACCGTAGACAAATAATATAATAAGGTGGCAATTGATTATCCTAAATGTCCAATTAGGTAGTTACGGTAAAATCGTTGCTAGACAACTAATTTATACAGTAAAATTTATTATAATAGTTAGTTCTCTCTTTCGTTATGTTAGATTAAGTTATATTTGTAATAAGTCCATTTTGCCTATATTCCTCATTAGTTTTAAGTTAACACACACAATTAATAACCAATCCGAGGACTCTCCATCCTTTCCTAGAATACCCGAGTCTCCGGTTCGCATTTATCCTTTCCCTATATTGGCGATTACTCAAAGCCTATAGAGTAGGAACAATGCTGGACAGCTAAAACCACTTGATTATATTGGAATGCATTGCATATTACAGATTCATATTATAGAAAAAAATAATTAGAAAAACATGTTTTATAAAAATATTATGTATAAACAAATATACATACAAAAAAAGAATGAAAAAATAATTTAAAAGAAGTTGAAATTTATTCCTCTCTTGATAAATATTATAATGATGTTCAAAGTGCAATTTTATTTTTATTGTAATTACAAATTTGTATCGTATTTTTGAATATGATATTATGGATTATGTAAACGTATATTTCGTTCATGTTTCAGAATTGATTTAAATTTGTTGTATGTAGATAGTCAAAAACCGAAACCGGAACGAAATTTTAATTATGGTTAATTTCGGTTCAATTTTTTTTTTTTCATTAAATTAATTCATAATCGCTTTCTTTCATGTATGCTCTTTGATGGTAGTATGTCGGTGCTAGTGTTTTGGTTTATTTATATAGACATTCGAACTATATTGTTGAACCAGTGACTAATTATTTTTTATTTCTTTTGTATTTTCAATTAACTAACCAAATTAAATTGCTTTTTTTCGATTTTAAATTTGAATTTCAACCGAAACCGAAATTTTTAGACGAACCGATACCGAATCTGGAGTTTATCGTTCCAGATTAATTTCGGTTCGACTCTCTGGTTGTATGTCATGTCACGTTACAGGTACCTAGATCATAGCATTTCCTTCAATCTTAAATTTTCCCTATTTTTTTTTATTCCTCCCGGGTGTGCGTTCGCTCGTTTGCTGTGAATGAGAGCAGCAATTTCCACGCGGCCGCATGTCTAGGTGCAGAAGGTATATTACCTTCTGTCAAAGATGATAACCAGGTATCAATTCAAGCGCAAAACGTAGCCTATGAATTGTTTCCAAGACCGTCTTGCATTTAAGCTTCACGAGGTTATACCTATTTCATACAGAAAATGCTACGGATTTCGTTTTGATCCACTAGATTATCATACGCTGGTTTATCTATGGGATTAAAAATAAATTCATCTTCTCTCCACTTATCATCCTCCAATAACTCTTTTCATTTTTTTTTACGCGTGCCACACTCGCTCTTCATGATCTCGAAAATCGTCGTGTCAACAGTAAAATCCAAATCCCGCCTAACAAAATTGAACGTCAATTACAGCCAAATGGATGAAAGCACAGTATCTTTTCGATCCAATCTATATACTACTTCATTTCACAACAGTTTAAGTTGATTGAATAATAAAAATATTTATGATTGTATTCGTTTTTATTAAAAACAACTTACGGATATTGTAAATAGATTAGAAAATCAATTCATAGACATATTCGGTAAGGCATAATCGGTTATTTATTAAATGTCTTTTAATTTATTGTTGATACGTACGTACCTATTTTTATGGTTTTTGTTGAATTATAAAGGCATCAGTACAATGCATTGTTTATAGAAGAAATTAATTAAAATACACTTAAAAAACTATGAACTCATTCATTCTCATTCAACTATTTCTCTATCAATCCACATGATAAAAAAAAAATAACTACTACAATTAAATTAGGGATAATCTAAGAGATGCGTCCAATTAGAATAAACGTGTACTTAAAAAAAAGATATTCATATCAATGGGTTGTTCCTTCCTTGATTTAATTAATAAATTAAAAGCGTATAATGTTCATATAATTAATTAAAGGTTTGTTGTTTTGTTTGTTTCTTTTTTAGTTTGTAATGAAATTAGATAAAATTCCTCTTATTGCAGTGGCAAGTCAATGTATAATGACCGTCGAAGTCACTTCATACTTGAGTTTTAATTTAAAAAATAAAATAAATGCAAATCTTCACTATCTACAAATAACGTGTACTGCCTTATGTTTCTTGATCCTAATATGCAAAGTTTTCTTATTCTTGAGGTATCTACAAGTCGACGCTTGCAGTTTAATATACACTTCAGTTATTATATCCTACGGTATAGCACTAAATTTATCCATTTTTCTTCCTTTCTTTTTCTACCAACGACGACAATTAAGCAGCACACACTGGACACTTATTTTTTCATTTCAACAAAAAAAAATTAATAATAATAGTTCACATATCAATATTTATGATTCTTTCTTCGCACACGACACTTACAAGTTCAAAAAAGAATAGAAGAAAAAAACTATCGAGGACTTTTTTTTTACAAACGTATAAAATTTTTTTTAGTATCCTAACGTTATGAGTGCGAATGGGGTTGAACGGATAGTAAACGAGAAGTCTGTGCCACCACCATATTGTCACCGCACGTATTGAAACCGTTATGGAACACATCCGGCACTATACTTGATTGCACCAGAGACTCGACGAGATTGTGATCGTCCATGTACTCCCCCAACAGGCCCTGCGATTGGCTCAGTTTCTCCAGAGATTTCACGTCGTTATCCACAGCAGCCAAAGCTCTTTCCAGCTCTTCGGTCTCTTCTCGCGTTGGTTCATAATCACCGTTTCGATTCACTAAAAATATACAATAATTCAATCAAGTGAATATTGCCACCTATCAAAAAACATGAACTTACCTGTAAAAAAATCATTAAATTCTTCAACTTGTATGGTACTCAACACATTTGTGATGTCCGTTTCTTCCAGCAGATGAGTCGCTTGAGTGACCAAAACTTGATCGACATTGGTCAGCTCCAATGGTTCCTCCTCTAAAGCTAATACTTGTTCCACCATATCTTCGCCCAAGTCCTCAGAATCGTCAGGAACATCAGTCAATATTTCATCTAAAGAAAAAAGGCAACAACAATCCAATAGTTGAAACAAAACCAAAAGAAAAGGAAAATATTGAGGAACGTACCGGAAATTTCGGAACTCTCGATAATATTACACGGAGGCACTTCGATGTGATGTCCAATAATATTGTTGCCATTATTACTAATATTATTGATAACAGCTTTTTTCTTCTTTTTGTTTCGCTTTTGAGGCCTTATCATCGCAGAAGACTTGACCTTTTTTCTTAATTTCTTTGGTTTCGCTTCCTGGTTCATCTTGTAGTTGTCCTGCAAATGCAATTAGAAAATTGTGTGCTTTTAAAATTACGTTTTTTTTTATACGCACTCGTTTCCTGGCGTGCTCTACGCAAAGTGGCAGCTCATGAAATATATCGAAAACCGGTACAGAGCATTGCGTATTATCGGCAAACTTTGCTGTGCAGTAACTGAACAGAACTTGATCGGTATTGTGCATGATGTGTAAAGTGCAGTTACGGGCGCACGGTAATGCCGGTTTTTTGCAATTCGGACTGTCGCAAGGTCTCGATTCCACTAGTCTGTCCATTGGTGATGGTGGTTGCAACTCTATCGATGTTGAAGCGTTTCTGATATTAAAACTCTCTGACGTAGAAGAATTCCAAGAGAGATGTGGTGATTTTTTGCCCACATTACTTCTGGTCAATTGTTTGAGGTGACGACGGAGTTCGTAACGTGTTATTTCCAATCGTTCTTCTCTAGATTTTTCTTCTATTTTCAGTCTCTGATAAAGAGAAACAAACACAATTGCAAAAACGATAATTATGCTATTTGATATCAATTAATTTACCTCGAGCCCTGCACTAAACCAATATTTCTGATAATTATTAAACTGTTCATTGTGTGTTTGGTCTATCCGTTGCAGGATTTCATGATGTGTGGATCTAAAATTACATATCTTTGCTCGAACTTTTGAACTCTGTGTAATTTTACTTTTTTGCATACTCTCTTCATTGCCTATCCCTTAAAATTTATCAATTATAATCTGAATTCTGAAACTAGAACTAATTCAATTACCTATAATACTGTGCATTCTTATCTTAGATACAAATTCTTCATCATTAGATACGTCTTTGATGGAAAACAGTTTAGTGGATTCTTGTAAATCATTGTTACCTGCTTCATTAGCAATTGCTGCATTCTCTGTTACTAATGCATTGTGCTCCAAAATATTTCTGCCTATGAAACTTTCAATAACTTTACTATTCAACGAATTAGTTGAAACTTTGGTATATCCATTTAGTCTAAAAACAAATGATGAAATTAGTTATTATTAGATTAAATAACAAACAGAATCAACATACCCTTGATTTCCTCTGATCATATTGTTACTAACTTGCAGGTTCTTCATTTGAGTTATCATCAATGTTTTGTTTACTTTCACATCATAAACACTACAAAAAGATTTACTGGACAATTTTCCAAACAAAACAAAAAACTGAACACATCACAAGTTTTACGTTCGTGTTTTTTTTCCTTCTTCTTACAAATCACAGCTTTCGTAGTTTTTCTTGCAACAACAATACTTTTATTAATTCCTATATGTTTATGTTGTAATTGGTTTGATAATTAGTTTCACTTGACAGGTCAAGTAAGGTTATGGACGAGAAGGAAAAGTTAAGGTAGGAAAGGATGAGGTGCTCGTGAAATTCAATTAAATCCTGTTAGAAACGGATCGCTCGAAATATTTCGATAAAATTATTTACAATTTGTTTCCATGTATATATAAAAAAAAAACTTTCTCAGTATTTAATTGCTTTTGACAAATGACATTTTTTTAGAAAAATTAGAATTACCAAACAAGCGTTGCCAACCTTCTCATAGAACAATATAAAAATCCACCAAACGTCCTGAATTTGATATAGGCAATATCAAGGCATCAGAATATTTTTGAAAATGCAGCTTCTTCAAATTAAAACATAAAATTTATATAAGTGCAAAGGTAATCATAGCAAAAAGCATTTTTTTAAAAATAATAAACATAATATTTAATAAACATTATCTTTCTAGCCGGCAGAAAAATGCATGTTTCGATTCTTTCGAATTTTTTTGATAATATTTTTCATAGAAATTTTGCACGACGTGCTCCACTTTAAATCCGAATTTCTGATAGAGAAATAAAGCAGGATTATTGATAGATACGTGTAGAGTAATATCCTTTCCCATACTCGTCTGAAATTTATAAATATTTTAATATAATCTTATAATAATTATAGATTAATTATTAATTACCTGTATGAGATGATAGATCATGAATCGACCGATACCGCAATTCCTCCATTGCGGCCTAACAAACACAAAGGATATATAATTTTCATGTATCTTAACATCAGGAACTATAAACGCAAATCCAATGATCAGCTTTTTATAAAGAACGACGCAACTAAAATCTGGATACTGTAGGCAATCAGTCACTGCAAATTAAACTAATTAGTACTATATTTTTTCTAAATGAATCCACTCACAATCTATTCCTGGCCAGAAGAATTGATTGCACAGACTATTTATGGCCGGTATATGAGAGGGCTGAACATAAACGTAATCTACGGAAGAACGTGCAGGTAACACGTAATTGGAATCACTTTTGTTGCTCTTGATCAATACTTCTGCCATCATTTTCAACCAAGTCGGGGTTGTTGCTACATCCCTTCGAATGTACGGTTTTAAGTATAGACTAGAGTAGGGAGATAATATCGTGTCTTCCCTTATATTACCCATTATCTTATGACGAATTTGTAGCCCTTCGTTAACGCAGATTTCTGCAATTTAAAAAACATATTACTATCAAAATTTCTAAAAATGTAAATCCAAATTACTTTTCAGTGAAGTATTGTAATGGCACATAGGATCCATAAACGTTATCGATATTTTCTCGACTTTCCTAATCTTCTCTTCCTCAATCTCTTTCAACGTTGGTTTAACTTCAAAAATTGGTATATCAGCTACTGGTTTTCTTGCCCCAGCATTAGTTTTCATTAACTTTTTGGAACACTCATTGTAAGAGTCAACAGTTGGAAGTAATATTTTTTTCAATTTGTTATTACTAACATTGATCTAAAAGACAATTTATCAATCAATAAAAAGACAAATTATAAACTAAAACATAATACTTACAGGTGCTGCAGATTCTGAACCATCAGAATATGAAGTTACATTTATTGGAGTCTCATCTATCACAATTTCTTCATTTTGATCTACGGTTATATTATCAAAAACTGATTGTTGGAAATCAGTGGTTAAGATTTTTAATTTGATTATGTCATTGACTATATTAAAATCAGATGTCGCCGATGGTGAACCTTTACTTTTTTGTTTTCTCAACAAAAATTCACTGTCTGAAACATGTCACATGATGATTTAACTTATAATTTTCCTTCATTTAATAACATACTAATTTTCATGATTGTATTTGGTGTTAGTTTTGGAAATGTCAACGTCCACCAGCCTTGTTCTCCAAAAATAGCAGTTCCAGAGTGAAAAAAGTGAGGACTATAATGTGATAACGTTCCGGAGACTGTACCAATCCATTTCTTTTTTCTCTTGCTGCAAACCAATTAGTTAATAAACAGATTTTAATATTATATAATAATACATACAAATCTTTAGGGAATATTATATCCCAATGTTTATCAATGAGTGTAGCCAAATGCATTTTCCAATGGAAATATCCTTTGCGAGCCAGTCCAGGATTCTTTTTGTTTATGTGATGCAGAACTAATACAATTGCTTGGAACCTAAATAATAAATTTAATAATTTGATTTGGGACAATAATTATACAAAATTTACCATGGCATTCGATCCCGAACAAACGTTTCTTGATCTGTTTTCGTGCAGTTTATGCACACGAACGTGTAAAATATATCTCCAAATAATCCACCAGGCACTGAACCTCTTTTCAGGCAATTAACGTGAACGTATTCATTACATTCGATACATTTCAAACCTTCTGCAGTTAAATCCTCTACACTTTCACTACAATATTTGCAACACAAATTATTACTTTCCATTTTTGTATTAAAATTGTTGCAGTCAATTTATCAGAGTGAGCCATGCATTATACAAATATTACAAATATTTGTATATTGAAAAGGACCAATAGCGACTGAGGCACATGTAAACACGAATGAAAATCTGTTTGGTTACCGAGATGGCGTAATCATCGAATTTTGGTGCGACAGTGGGACTAAGTGTGGCGCTAGTAGTTACGATCGTCAATTAATAATTTTTGTTATAATTTTTAACGATTATCTCTGCATATGCCGCAGATATTGAGGTATTATTTAAAATGTGTATTGACACAAAGTAATGTACAAAGTGTTTGGTAACTGTTGCTATTGTATTTGAACAGGGACGGACTCTTAACTTTGTGGGCTTTCGGCGAATACGACTAAGACGGCCCTAGTTTTGGTACAAAAGTACAAAATAATTATGGATAAAACGTAAATTTTCTTTATTATCTTTTTCTATGAATTACAACCATTAATCGATTATTTCGAAATACAACGAACAGAAAAAAAATTGTATAAAATCTATAATATATAAATAATTTTCATCTAACATTTTCTTAAATAATTAATTAGAATTTTTTATATACACAAATAAAAATATATAATATATGTCATCATAATTATTATTATTATTTTTTTATTAAAATTCGATTAAACAAAAACAAACTCAATAATAATATTAATATTAATTAAAGAAACTTAATTGAAAGGCACGGAATTAGTTAAAATTTTAAAGTTATTCTTGTCTTCTCGATCTTGTCCTGTCTTGTAGTAAGTAGATAAGATCAATATGGATGAACGCTCGCTATACCCACTCGGCCGTTGCTGTTGGAGACAGAGCTGTTCGTCCTGTGCAACATTTCGTACTTCTTCTGCTGCTGCTGTTCCTGGCTGCGCGAATTGTACTTGGGCTCTGCGTAGCTGTTGCGATAGTTGGAACTCTTCTGGTTCTTCACGTATTTGGAGGAATCGTACCTTGCGGATACTTGATCCAAATCGCCGTTGGATTTAGAAAAGTGACCGTCGTTGTAGAAGTCGTCCGTCTGCTGCTCCATGTACGAGCGTCGCTTCAGCTCCTTCGCAATTTCCGATTGATTCCTCTTGTGATCTTCTATGGACAGGTTGAACATGGATCGCCTCTTCGGGTCGTACTTCTCTTTGTACCTGCTGCTTTCCACCATCTGTTGCTGATCACCTCTCCTATACCTAACTTCCTCGGTGTGAAGCGTCCTAGGAGCAGGCTTCGGCATCGTGTCTCCTCCGTACCTGTCGTCATAGTAACGACCTTCCCTTTCGCTCTCATAGTTATACCTGAAACGCATCTCTAATTATTGTTTGACCATCTGAAACGCATCACATTACCTGTCGTTATTGTAGTTTACACTTTCTTGTCGTTTAATGTAATGTTTCTCCTTGTGTACGGGTGAAATTGGCTGCTCGTCACTTTTGTAATAAGCTTTACGTTCCTTCGCGGTGGGTATCGCTGCCGCTGCTGCAGCTGCAGCTGCTGCAGCTTCCTTCCTTGCTCTCAACTCCTGATCGATGCGTTCCCGTTCCAGCAGAAGGAATTTCTCTTTCGCATCTTTGAACCGATCTCTCGGAGACACCGGAATATCTTCAACGTATTTAGGTGAGGGAGATCTCTGCCTGCCCGAAGCGGCCGCTCGTTTCTTCAACGTGTCCTCGTAGTACTGTCTTTCGTAATAATCGTCGTCTCTGTGGTACTTTTGCCTCGCTTTCGGTATGGGAGCTTTGAATTCGTACTCCTCGTCCACGTAACTCTCCTTCATCTCCTTCCTTCGCTCACTCTCCCCTTGGTACCTCTCCATTCTAGACCTTTCTGAAGATTGATGATGCCTGGGCTTCGGCTGCGGCTCCACGTACCTTTCCATATAACTCTCCTCCAACTCGGCCCTCGCTGCCAACTTCTTCCTAATATGCTCTTCCAAGTATTGCCTCGAAGCCTTCTGATCGAACTGTCGCGGATTCCTCTTCTCCACTCTATAATCATACTTATTTCCAATCGTCGCATCATTAATTTCTTCCCGACTAGATGGACCCAGCGAAGAAGAAACCGTGTCCATCAGGTACAAGGACGTCTCATTGTCCCCATTCCAATCATCATCTTAAAAAAAAAAAAGAAGTTTTAGTCATCTACATAAGCGATTCCTAATTGATATACAAATCAAAATGGTTTCTATAAGTCTAGGTTTATGATTCTGAATGTTTTCGAAATATTTCCAAATTATTCTCAAATAATTGCAGATAGTTGTGAATTCGATTTACTTTTCAAGAAATAATGTTTGAAAAAATGTTTAATATTAAAACAAATCTACGTAATTAACTCTGAATAGACGAATAGACAAATTAGTGAAGTGAATTCAACAAGTGTTATAAATTTTAAACATCGTAGTTTTAAAATAGATATTACCGATTATTTTTTTTATTATAATACCTAGTACTTATATAAAATCACTATTTCAAAATAGTAGGCTGCGAAAATATTTGAAAATTTTAAGGGGGCCGCGACTACTAAAAGCTTAAGTACAACTGCTATATATAACATAATAATTTACAGTCATGAAAGCAATTTCATTTCATGTAAAGACAACATTACAAAAAACGAGGCTATCTTTTTTTATTTTCGGCAAACGAAAGGTGTCCAAACAAAAAAACCTACCGACCTTCAGCCCAGCTATTTCTTAATATACATGCACTTCGTACCAGTTTTTTTTTTGCTGAATTTCCATCAATTCCGTTCGATTCAATCATTCTCGTTGCAACCGCAGAAATTGAAATGCGAGAAATCGTTATGCCAAACGCGCACATGCGTAAAATTTACGTGATCCGCCGGTATAGTTCATTAGCAATACGTTTTACTTACATTATTGACCTTTCTATCACAACTAAACAAAAAATACGTTTTTTTTTTAAATGTTTGAATGTAGACTGTAAATTTGAGATAAAGTATCAAACTATTAAAATGACATATTCTAAAGACAGTTCATTTTGTAGCGTGAAGATTTTTTTTTAATATTTTAATTGCTTCTTGAAACTGAGAATAACGGTCGGCGGTATTTTTTTTTTATTATTTTAATTAAAAATTATAAAACACTAGCGACTTCATGAGATTATTCTCTCTTCAACTACAAACTATTATTATACTGAGAGAATAAAATATAATAGAACAGCTTTTTTTTGTTTCGATTTGTTTTAGTGTAAAAATGTAAAATAATAAAATTGCAGGTGTAATATGTAGATAAAACGCAATAAATCACGTAAAACGTACTGAATTGTACAGGAAATGTGAAAAAAAACTTTCGTTTCTAAATAGTCCATAATAATTAAATGCATTTAATAATGTTCGAGAAAGACATTATGGGAGAATTGTAAAAAAACTTACAATTTTATTGAAATTAAAGAGAAAAAAAATGCAGTTTCCGTTTCCTATATTCCGAAGAATCTTTTTATAGATTTTACGTGATTTTTTTGTAGTTGTTGTTGAGACCCAATTGTTCATAACATAAAATTTTTGACGTTTTGACGTAATGTGCTAGCTGTCATTTCGATACCCAATAGTTTATAACATAAAATCATTGACGTTTCTATGCTGTCACCTTAGCTGTCATTTTACGACTCGTTGCAAATTTAACGCGACCCATAGGTTGAGAAACGTTGCTAAAAATGCAATCATTGGCATGTTGAGTTTGAAAATGTACGTGTTTATATTGTTTGTTCAAGAAACTGAAATCAGTTAAAAAAATATATAAATAAAAATGTGAATCCTGATGTTGGTACAATGATTATTGGTAGAAATATAATGACATTTAAATTTTGACGTATGTATGAAATAATTAAATTAAATCTAACCTTAGAAATACAGCTATTTCATTAAGATTATACACGGTGCTTCTTGTTCTGTTCAATGAAAACATTTCCATATCGGAGAGATGAAATAACGGATCAAATTTAATACATGTAGGAAAACCAGAAATTGCAATTGAATCGTAAAGAAAAGTGACAACTTGTCAGTAAGTAACAAAACATTTTTTATTTTAGAATTGAATTTAAGCATTCAACTTATAGCCCGAGATGGCAGGTTGTGAATGAACAATAAAAGCTAAAAAAAAAAAAATTGAATTTTATCCGTTGAATCCGCACTGATCGAAGTCGCACTATACAAGGTATCTTAAGCACATCGATTATTTAAAGCAAATATACGATCGATAGCGTTAAATTCGAAACAACCAAATAATTGTTATTTTTAAGTTTGAAAATTGAATTAAAGTTACATAAATTGTACAAATATTTAGTTGCACAAGGAAATTGATTAGTTTCGTTAATTAATATTTTCATCGCCTACTAAACTAGTTTCAATAAGATTTGTCTAAACTAAAAACATTATAATAATATTATTTAAAAATCGCTATAATTTTACTTTATGCTCGTCAATTTATCAATTAATTGTTTCGTGAAATATTTGTATATTTTAGAAAGCTGAGCAGATCGATCTCTGGCAATTAGTTTTTGTGAACAGGAAACTCGTTATTTCAAAATGAAACTTTAATAGTAATAATAGTAGCTAGCATACGTATCCAGTAGATACGTGGAACCTACATTCGAGGCGGCCTTTTCTGAATTACCGAGTTATGCAAATGCCCATAAAATAGTGGTGGCCTTTAAGTAATTCAAGACAAAAGCGGAGCAAAACATCGTTAGATCCATTTAAATTTTCGATCCGCATTCGAAATTGCAAATTTTACCGAGCATTTTAAATACGAATTTCCTGTACGAATTTCTACTTTACTCAGGAATGCTTTCAAAATTTGAGGATCATTATTGGCTCGAATTCCGGTAATTTCATTTAATGATCGAAGTGTTGAAGATAATTGCATCCGAAACAAAAAAAAAACTCGTTTTCTGCTTTCTATCGTTTCTTTATTTCTCAAAAATAAAAGAATAATAATATTCGTTAGTTGATTAAAAATTCATCGTGTTTAAGAAACAATAAAGTGCAGCAATTAGTTTCGAGCCAACCTCCCTCCCTTGTTGTTGAGTCAAAGCTCCTAACAGGATAAAAGTAACCGTTCGATTCGATGTCAATACGATTTGCAACAATAAAACTTGTGTTGCTATTGTATTTTTTTTTTTCGTTTTCCTATTGGCAGTGCGTCTCATTATGAATCGCATCAATACGTTCTTCAATAACAAAAGCTTAAATCCTAACTGTTGGTAGCAACGATTTTCATCTTTTTTTTTTACTCGCTTCAATTTTTACGATATCGTGAAAGTCGTCGAGTATACGAAGCCACTTTTCTTTACGATTCAGTCGCAATTTCTGGTTTTCTTACATGCATTAAATTTAATCCGTTATTTCATCTCTTCAATATGGAAATCTTTTCATTGAACATTCAAGAAGCACCGTGTAATTTGCATTTGAAGAAATAAAGATGTTACTGAGGTTTGATAATTTAATTATTTCATGCATACGTCAAAATCTAAATGACATTATATTTCTACCAATAATCATTGTATCTATTTTTTTTTCAATCTAATTTCCCCAAATTCCTTCAGCTTCTTCAACAAGGATATGAATTCGTACATTTCCAATCTTAAAATGATTGCATTTGTAGCATCGTTGCTCAACGTCAAGAATTTAATGTTATTAACTATTGGGTATCGAAATGACAGATGTTGCTTGCGTCAAAACGTATCGTATAAATAAAATGTAGTAAAAAAGAAACAGGATTTTACTGCAAACTGATATCAATAGAATATTAACACACTAAACTTAATACTAGAAAGATCATTTATGAAACTCAAAATGTAATGGTTTTAGATGATTGAAAATATATAAAAACTCATTAAAATTGTGGAAATGACTGCAATAGCCGATATCAATTAATAATTGCTGAAAGTACACGAATATGCTTTTTCATAGATATAAAAGAATGTGGAAATATGAGGCACAAAACAGTACTTTAATGGTAATTGCGAGTAATGCGTTTCCGTTGCAAATTTTCATATGGCATATTTGCTTGTGAGCGTGTGTAAGTGTAGATAGAAAAAACAAGTGCACGTATCTGTGTGATGAGCGTATTTTGTTATCGAGTGAGCGAAGAGTGCGTGTGTCAAATGAGGAGGTGTAACAGTATACGGGCTATTTCCTGCCCGCATTCGTGTGCCTCGGAATCCTGTTAGGAGCGGAAATCGCACCGTCTAAGCGAGCGCACGGCACCTTTCGGTTTTAGCAATTAAACAAAACACTAATTAAAAGTATATATATATATATAGGAACCCGTTACAACCACAATGTGGATAGCGAAAAACATATAAATGAAATAAACGGAAATTGCAACGGTGCCCAAATTTTCGCCTACTTCTCCACCCTCCAAAATTAGACATAAAAAAAGAAACGGGAGCTTTGAATGAATGTTAAGTAGTATTTCGTTATTGATTCACATTTAAATCTAAGTATGCCATAAAATAGTCCAGTTATCCGGCATTAGCTAATTGGTAAACATTGCAAAAATATTAAGAAACTTACTTCACGCGATATTGCTGCCATCACCGCTGAATTATCTGAATTATCACCGTCTCTACAGATTTGTTTATTAATCCGATAAGTTTAATGAAGTACTGAATTTGAAAAACTGTATCTGCTTTAGATAATAATTCAACAGATAAATGCAAATTAACGTCAACAAATGAATCGTAATAATGCAAATCAAAGGATTAATTTTGGTGATATTTATTATTTTAAATTGGGGACGGGACACAATCATAGTTTATTTTTTGTTTTTAATTATTTATTTTGGTAGCAGTTTTTGAAGTTTAATGTTAAATTCCATCAACAAATTAATCATAAAAACTGTATAAATCTAAAGATAAATTAAGTTAAATTTTATGGAACTTAATTAGTGAAATTGAGCAATATAAATAAAGTGTGTCAATCGTAACCTGAAATCAGGTTGTTGAAAATTCCGAATAGAAGAAAACGATTTTAGTAAGGATTTTTCTTATTACTAGTATATAAGAATAGTTATAAAAAATTCATCCAATTAGCATTCGTTTTCTTTTCATTAAACGTTTATAACATTTATTGGCGTAATTAAAAATAAACCGTTACATTTATTTATTGTTTTTTTTTGTTGTTGTTGTAAGTCATTCTGACACACGCCAACTGACTATTAAAATTGTACGAGAAAACGTGCTGGTAAAAGTAAACAGACTGTCGTCTATCAAATACCTTGGTTAACATTGGATTAATAATGAAAATAAAAGAAAATATCGTTATTATTAATATAATATTGTTCATGAATATGTAGTGTGGAGCGTACAGTTAGACTTAATCAAATAACGCACGTGCAAAATAACTGTGATAATGAGAAACAAATTTCTTATTGTATTATATAGATGATCCGTGCATCATTTTTGGTGTGAGCGCGAATGTTTTTTTCATCTTAAGCATACTAAAAAAAAAAAATCTATATGTGTGTCGAGTTTGTGTCGAGCGGGAATGCGGACGGACCCGACTTGTGTCCTACTGCCTCCGGGTTTCACCTGTACAAGAATTTTGCCCCGCCCGAGTTCCTCCGACAGGTCAAATCTTCATCATCATACCATTCTTGTCGCTCGTCTTTTTCTTTTTATTACCATCAAAGCACACTTTGCCTGTGTGCTCGAGCCGGTGAAATCAATGCCGACACAACCATTTGCATACGCTCGCAACGTATACGTTGTACAAGACGTCTTGGACAGCGAATTTGTAATATTTCATTCATTCATATTAAAATTGGCAAAATATATTAAAAATAATTTCATGTGAATTATCTAAATGGCAAGGCTTCTTTTATGAAACCCTTTGAATATTGTCTAAATCTAGAAATATTACTGTTACTGTTTTTTTTTTGTTTATGTAAGTGTTTTTTTCTTTAACTCGAAAGTAAAACAGTTGTAACAGATTGTGTTTTAATTTCGATTAAACTATCCCATGATTTAAGAAATGTAAACTTCATAAAACACCTTTGCTTCTTTGCACACATAATTTCCAATGTGTTTACATTGTATTTAATAAAAACAAAGAGAAATGCCACAAGAAATGAAATAAACCTATAAAATATGTCACTTTCCTTTTAATATTTATACCTGCGACTGAGTGTTTTTCGTTTCGTTTCTAAATATCATAAATTGTATGTTAATTAAAATTAAAATTTACAATAATGAAATTTAAAAAAAATCATCATAAGTCCAATACATCATAAACATCAAGTAAGCACATGTATTCCACATATTATTAATGTCACAAATAGCACGAGTAAATTAGATTAATCTTGCAAATATAACCAAGAATACTTTCTAATGATATTGATTCATATAGTAAATAATTTAATTTTTGAAGTACAATATTTTCATATTGATATAAACAAATCAATCCGAACCGATTAATAAATATCCCCAATAGAGCCTCTAAAAAAAATCATAATTTCTGGTGATGAGAAACTTCTGCATTACAATATTGTAAAGTAGATGCACATTCTGTAAAGATTCTAAAAGTATGATCCCGTTTTATAGCTAATTTAAGTAACAGTGTGAAGTGAATTAGACAAGAAGGAAATAGTTATTTTAATTAGTCTCTTTAGCTTACCGCTTGTGCTGTGTCCATCCATGCCGTGGTACCTGTCGTTGACTTCCGGCGGTGATTCCGGCGAAGGAGCATGATCAGAGCCGATGCCGGAACTTCCGCCGCTGCTCTCCAACCTCCGACCTTTCACGTTTTGTCCGACGATGTTGCTGTTCAAACATCGCCTAAGTTCGATCCCCGTCAGATTTCCCTTCTGCCTATGAACCGTATCGTAATCCCTAGGTGGCAGCAGTATGGGCACATCGTTCTTGTTCAATTTAGCCCTGAGTTCTGCGGCCACGGAATCATATAAGGTTGCAACGCGTGAAGTTGACTCGAACCTAAACAAAACAAAAAAACAAAACGGTGACAATTATAATTGGTTTGGAAATCAATTAATTATTACCTTTCCTCGCTGCTTTCGCTTTCTCTGGTGCTGTTTCCTGTGTCGCTGCCAATCGATGACTCGAACTTCTTGTTGCTGTTATTGTTGTTGTTGTTGTTTTGGCTCGATCTGCCTAGTCTACCCTCGATTTCAACGAACTTCTTCTGATTCTCAGGTTTCTCTATCAACGTCTGTAGTTGATGCTTCAGCAGTGAGGCCGTCTCCAAACTGTCGCAACGGTAGGCGTGCACGTGGAGCGGGCACTTTGTTACTGGATTGAAGAGCAGCAGGATGCAGGCTATGATGTCATCCTTCTGGTGGACGCAGGTGATTGTGTTGTGCGGTATGAAATGCTTTATCGTCTCGTTCTTGGGCTTCTTGTTGCCCTGCGACACGATGTTCTGCACGATCTTGAGACCCTTGTGCGACACCTGCAGCGTAACTTTGAACGGCTCTATGTCCTTCTCACGTTCCTCCAAGTTCTCTATGATGGGTAGTATGTATTCGCTTCCTCTGAGCCCTTTCGCCTCCTTCGCGCCCAAGAACCACACATAGTACGAGGACTTTTTTATTTCCTTCTTTAGTTTCAACGCCATCTTCGATATCTGTCGTTACGATGTCTACCCCGCCTACCAATCAATTCTTTTAGGATCCGTTACCATTCTTTCACTTCCTGAAACGAAAGAAGAACAGAAATAAGAATAATGATGATGATGATGATAATAATAATAATAAACGAAATTGAAGAGTCGGTCGGTGGCTGCTGCATCACAATTTTCCGGCTTCGCAAGCGAAAGAAGAATGGTTGGTTGTTGCCCATTATAATGGTCGGGTATTGTCTTACAAGGCCGTTACACTTCTTTTTTTCTTCTTTTTCTTCTTCCCGAGAACACCAACGATCCGGCCAATTGTTGCACATCAGCATATTCGTTCGTTCTTTATTTATTTATATATTAAAAACAAGAAAACAGAGACAAACAGATTCTCAATAAACTACAAGAATCTATTCTCATGCAACAACAATGCAAATAGTAACACAATTTGGGTCGTCGTTATGAGGTCAGATGAACTACTTCACTTTGATTTAAAATACTTCTCTCTCTCTCAAAGCTCACTCAGTCTGCATAATTTGCATTAACATTAATACTATAAATTCACACGAAGAAAGAAACCGCCAATAAAGAATGCTTACTTATACGTGTATTAGTAGAAATAAAACATTAGTCGTTGTAGCAAATTAATTTTAATTGTTAATTAAATTTAAAACATTAATCTCCTAATTCAGAGCATAAAATCCATTAAAAAAGTAGTTTTTAATCAATGTCAGTGTCACTGTCAACATTGTTAAGTTCAAATATTCTAAATCTTGCGACTCGAAATTGTTAAAAATATTAACAAACAATTACAAACAATTGGTTTGTACAAACAAATATGTCGCGTTACGATATGACAGCTGTCACCTTGTGTCAAAGTGATGAATTGGTGAAATACTCTCAACAATGTGGGTCGCTAAAAAGTTGACAAACTCTGATCTATGTCAATTATAGATTTATATAAGAATAATTTCATTGTTTACATTTTAATATGCATACCTTGAATGACAACTGCATATAAATATCTGCATTAATGTTCTTTATACACATTGATGTTATTGTCATTATTTGAACAGCGTTGACAGAATTAAATTCTTGTTCTCGAGAATCCCGAGGCCGAGGCTAGAAAATACGTTCACTTTATGAAAAGAAAACAAACAAAAAATAGGATATCCAGGATACGAACGTGTATTAGACAAGTTGTTGTCTCGACGAACGTGAATTTCAAGGAAAGTTAATTTGAAAACGTGACGTTAAAAACGTGCTTTTTTTTACTAGATTCTACAATTTCAGAACAAACAACAAAAAATGGAATTGAATTCTTTCGATTAGGATTCGGACGATTTATAAATTAGCTTCGATCTCGAATTGAGCATCGATGTGAACTAGAAACTTTATGTTAATTACTTTAAATGCATGCAATTAGGGATCGGAAAGAGAAACTAATGAAATTAAATTTACAAACTTTTCCGAGAATCGTTATAATTTTTGACACTAGTTTGACATTTCGATAATTGTTTCTTGAATTGACAGATTTGCAATGCAATTGTGGAAAAAGTGGAAAAGATTTAAGGTTTAAGTCAATATAAATCAATTAAGTCACTTAAATTTCACCGAAACTCACTGGAAAGTGAAACAACTAAAACAGAAAAGAAACACATAATTTTATTTAAAAAAAAATACTTTCTGTGAAATTACGTTTTCTGAATACAATTTTTGTATAAAAAGCGAAAAAAAAATTGTTGCCTCTTTGTGAAATGCTTTTACCAAGTACACACAATTTCTTTGAGAACCGGTCGCAATTTCACGTGCATGAGAACTAAATGTTTAATTTAAGTCAACATCTACATTACAAGTGTATTAAGTAGAAGAAATAATAAATGGTTTGGGACAATTTTCAGAATGCATGTTTGTATGTGATTTAACACTATTAGATTGACTTATGCGATTATAAATGTCAAATTAGTATAAGAAGACTAATAGATATTTTAATATTAAGATAATATTTATATTCTTCAGTGATAAAAACAATTGACATAGTGTTTAAAAACGTAAAAAAAACAGAGGTTTACAATCTATATTTTCGATTGTATTTATAATGAAGGGAGGGAGACCTTGGCTGGTCCACTCCCAGAAACTAGTGGCTGAGAGAACACAACAAAAATTGGTTACAAGGTTCCTCAGAGTCATCAAATCGAATGAAACCATTAAAACGATTGGTACAAAAATTTCGTACACGTACTTAGTCATCTTAGTGTCAACGCATATGGAATTAACCATAAGAAACAAATGCATTTCGTAATGCCAATCTCTTCTCCGAAACTTTGCAGTTGACGTCGTTTGGTATTTTTTTTTTGTTTCTGTCTTTGTTTGTAGTTGTTGTCGATGTTTTATTAATATCCAGGTGGGTTGGTTTGAGGTGAAATGCGAGTTATTTGACCTTCGTTCTGGATAATAAAACGCGCTCTCTTTCTGTCGTCAGCGTACGAATATGTACGCGAAACGGAGACGAAGATAGAGAACGGGAGACGTCGAACGTGAGCGCTCTCAAGGTCCGTAATTATTACTAGCTTATGCTTAAAAGTCGATGTGTGGACATAATGGATAGATCCACTAAGTTCAGGGAGTTTTTTTTATATTGTCATCATCAGCAGCAGCAGGCAGCGTGCATCCACTTTCATAAAAAAAAGATACGCACACGTTTCGGTTGCGCAACGACGATTGTCTTTGCAGAATCTCTCTCCGAAGAGATTCTTTCGACGTAACTTTTTTCCGTCCTGAGAAACGGTCGGCTTTAATCCCTGAAAGAGTTAGTCAACAATGGAATAAATTTCCATCTCCATTACTTTTTGACAGCTGTCATGCGATCCAAAATTGACAGCTGTCGCAAAATGACATGACAACTATCACTTTGTGTCAAAGCACAGCAAAAAGTTGAGAAACGCTGTTCCATATAGAAAATGAATTTGGACTTGAAATATTTCTCAAATTTCTAAGATTAATATAACCCATATAACCCTCCATTTGAACGCCGTAATGACAGTTGTCACTTTGTGTCAAACATAAAAAAATAAGGAATTATATAATTTGACTGAGTATTTACAGTGCGAAAACCATATGGAAGCCCTCATAATTTCTTCAGTAATTTAATTACATACAAACAGAAATTGCGATGTAACGCTTTGCAGCTGATGCTCGATTATCCATCGAACGGTTTTACTGTCACAATTGAACAAATAGAAAACGTTGAATTGTTGACACTTTGCTGTGGATTTTACAAACCATTAATTATAGATTATATTCATTTTTTATCCGTTTGTTGTGTGCAGAAAGAAAGCCACTTAATTGAGAAGTTTACGTCGGATTACAGTGAAGGTAATCCCCGAGCAATTGATGATGATAAGCTTACCAAGACATGATAATTGCAATTTCAATATAACTAAAAATAATGTACAAAAATTACTCGTTTTGTGGAATTTCTTCATTTTTTGTACCAAAGAGTGATCAAAACATCTTGAGTGATGAAATTAAGATCATTGAATATTTGTACGTTAAAAATACAAGGTTATGTAAAATTCTCAAATTAGCAAATAGGAGAAAAGGAGAATGAACTTTTAGTTCAGACAATTGCATTATATTAATGACGCAATGAGCGTGATTCCATGTGAAAAAAAATTGTAAACAAATTTGAGGTTATTTTTTTTTGTTAGTTAGCACTAATCCTCTTACACGTAATATTTTAATTAGAGATAAAACAATGGACTCGTAAACGTAAATTATTAGATGCTGTGTGACTGTATCTCAGGAATTCGATTGCAAAATGTTTCACTGTTCATTGTATTTTTTTTATTATTGTTTTAAATCTCAAATATCCTTCTCCGCTTATAAAGTAATTCTACTTTTACGTGCATTCCATTAACAATCGCAATAGATATTTGCATCATCCCACACACACAAAAAAAACACACCTGTCAAATCGTTGACACGTCAATTGCGAAATCAAATATTTCATGTGCATTTTTTTTAAATTTATACATTATTATGTAAAATGCGAAATATTTTCGAAATACAACTTTTTACATGATGTACTGTTGCGTTTTTAACCGTTTTGTTGTATTACCAACCAATTGCTAAGAGTGTTGCACCAGTTTCTCGCTTTGATGTTTCCTCAAATTTTTGACGTTACGATTCAAAGTGACAGTTGTCATATCGCTGATGGACAGTGCGAATTTTCTATAGTAAATAACGATTATAAATTCTTGCATAAAATTAACCGTAATTTATAAAAATAAACAGTATTAATATAGTCACGTGTATTTTTGCTTATAAGTGCGTTTCACCTTGGATTCGTCTATTTTGTAGGTCAATTGCATATTCATTTCAACTGTTTACGAGATAATGTGGAATAAAGCGCTCGCTCGATCAAATTCCATCAATTCTCTATTACTATAATTGATCTTCGTAAAGTTTTTACTTTCCAATTTATTTATTTGTTAGTGTTCTTCTGGTGCGATAGAATAGACGATACGATCTTCAGTGACACGACTCATAATAGTAATTTTGCGAAAATTACAAACAATTACAGAAGGCAAAACTTTCACATTCTTTTTGTATTTCCTACGCTTCTAGAGAGAGAGAGAAAAAAAAACTGTGTTACATTGTAACGCGAATTGCGCGGTAATTGATGTTAGTTACCCACTTAAATAACAATCAAATTATAAAATCTCCAATGAAAAAGTATTTTTCCAATTATTTTATACTGGAGTAAGTGAATCGAAAGAAAGCAAAATGAATTTCATTAATTATTAAATTGATTTCATTTCAATATTCACGCTTTTCAAGACTTCCTCAAAAGCGAACGTGTTTTATTCGAGAGAGAGAAAAAACTTTGCGAATGTGACAGATGGATTTTTATTGGATTTGGCGACGAACGGGCAAAGCTGGAATGAAGTTGACCTTATATTTGCGAGACCTTGCTTTTCCTTTATTTACATACGATGCGAACGATTCATTCAGATTCCAAATTAATTAAGAAACGTTCTTCAACCTATGATGGGTCGTGACCCATAATTGACAGCTG